ATCAGTAAATATGAATTTGTTGCTGTCATTTTTGTTATGTGCTTTTTGGTGGTGTCGATTTCTTTGTTCCATATAAATTTCTATGCTGAGCTCATTTTGTTTATGAATCATGTTATCACTTCCTTCATTGCTATTGTTTTAGTGTTTGCTGAATATTTATGCTGGTCCTCTTTTTTGATGTGAAAGTTTATCATTTTTCTTTGAGGTTACCCTATGATTTATAGTTTTCTTACCATGTTTGGAATAGTCCGTTCTATCTTGTAGTTGTCTTGACTTCCCTACCATCTTGTTGTTGTTGTTGTTGTTATGTGCTGTTGAGTTGCACCTGACTCATAGCGACCCCTCCTTGGGTTTCCAAGGCAGTATCATTACGGAAGTAGATTGCCCAACCTTCCTTCCAATGAGTGGCTGGTGGTTTTGAACCGCCAGCCTTCTGGTTAGCAGTCAAGTGCCTTAGGCACTACGCTACCAGAGCTCCCCCCTACCATCCTAGAAGTTCTGTAACTACACAGTTTTTTCCCTCTTTTTGGTTTGTAGTTGTCCTCATTTATCAAATGATGTCTCTGGTTCCTTGTTTACAATCTTGTAGGCTTAGTTACTTTGGATAATTCCATAGCTGGGTTGGTTTCTGGGTTATGTCATCATGTGTGTTAATGGTCAGTTGTTGTTGGCTGTTGTTGTTTCTCTGTCCAAAGGGCACCCTTCAGCATCTCTTGTAAGGTTGGTCTGCTTTTAATAAATTCCCTTAATTTCTGCTTATCTGGAAATGTCCTAATTTCACCATCATATTTGAGGGACAGTCTTGCTAGGTACATAATTCTTAGTTGGAAATTTTTCTCTTTCAGGGTTTTATATCCCATTGTCTTCTCTCCTGCGTGGTTTCTGCCAAGAAATATGAGCTTAGTGTTACTGGTTGCCCCTTGTAGGTAACTTTTCATTTTTCCCATGCTGCTCTCATGATTCTTTCTTTGTCTTTCATTTTGGTGAGTTTGATGATGATATGTCTTGGTGATTTTCTTTTGGGGTCTATCCTGTTTGGCGTTCTTTGGACTTCCTGAATGGATATATTCTCATCTTTCATCATACCAGGAAAACTCTATTCCAACAAATCTTTGACAGTTTTCTCTGTGGTTTTATTTGTGTCTTCCTGTTCTGGAATTCCGATTACATGTAGGTTATTCCTTTTGATAGTGCCCCACATGAACCTTAGGCTTTCTTCATTTTGTTTTGATCTTTTTTCTGATGTATCCCTTTCCAAAGAAGTGTTTGGGTATTTGCCTTAAATCTCCCTAATTCTGTCTTCCATTGATTCAATTCTGCTCCTTTGCCCATTCAATGTCTTACCTATTTCTGAAAATATAGTATTAATCTTCTGGATTTCTGTGTGTAGATTTTGTATCATTTCTAATTTTTCATTTATTTTGTCATTTTGTTCTTGTATTACCTTTCAAAGTTGTTGTAGGGTTTTCTCTTTGTTTTCCTCTATTTTGTCAGTGTTTTCCTTGATCTGTCTCTCAACTCGCTGAAGATACCTAAATATAATTTTTTTTAATTCCTTATCATGGAGTTCCAATGCTGCGTCTTCCTCAAGGATGTGTTTTGGCTCTGTGTCTTGGTCCCTTGTTTCTCCTGCTTTATCTTGCTTCTTTGTTTGGACTGTGATGCTCTGTTGTCTCCAAGGCATTGTGACGTTTTTGTGTTTTTATTTAATTGGTGATTGTATGTTGGAGTGACTTGCCCACGATTATTATTTTCTTTGTTTTGTTTGTATTTACAGTCTATGCAAGCAGGGTACTATGCTGTGCTTCTCTATGTGCTAGTGGGCAGCACTTACACACTCACCAACTCCTTTCCTGTTGTCAGCCTCTCGTATGTCCCTGCTGACCTTGGCAAACAGAAACTATTCTTCGGTCTCTGGAATCCGAATGAGGATGCTATGACTTTAAAATCCAAAATGGTTGCCACTTGTAAAGATTAAAAATGGCTGCACCCTCTGTCACTTTAAATATCCAAAATAGCTGCCACGTGTAAACAATCAAAATAGCTGCACCCTCCAGACAGCAGAAAGTCAGCAGCTCAGGTTGTCTCTCACCTTGTTGTTTCCTTCCTATTCATAGGCCACCAGCTCAGTCGTTCCTGCAGCCCTTGGTGACTAGGGCTGATCTTTTTTAGGTTAATTCTCAGGTCCCAGCACCACTTGGAAGTGCTCACACTGTTGGTCCCGTCAGAGTAGCTGATAGTCCAGAGCTCCGACCATCTCTGTACTCACTGTTTTCGTTCAGGTTTTTCCACTAGTTGGTGCCTAATGCACTTCTGTATAATTCCTTTCAAAGCTCAGGCCTCCAGGATTATCTTCTGTATCTCTATCAATTGATTTTTCTTTTCTTTGTTGAAGAGGGTCTGTGTCACTTGTCAGCCTATTCCTTCATCTTCGAGGCAATAAAATCAACAATTCTTCATTATTCCTTTTCTATTCCCTTTCCCATTGCATCAATGCCAAACTTACTTTCTACTCCATCAGTGTAAAACTGTAAAATATTTAGGCAGACTACAGTTATGTTTATTACATACTTTTAATTTAGATTAATTGAACTTCTTTGTGTCTCTCCACTTCAAAACAAAAGTAAACTTCTTATAAGAGTGCCGTATCATCATTTAAAAAAAAAATTGTGCCTGTATAAACTACCAGCAGTATTATAAATACTTGTTTAATTCTTTGAAATTAAGCAGTACATTTGCTATACCTATTTATGAATGGAACTTTCAGGATAATTAGAAACTTCATAAACATCTCCATCCTTCAATTCTCCTGTATTTATGGTCATGTTGGGTCACTTAATCCTCTTCATGGTGTTACTTTAATATCTCTCATGACTGTTTTCAGTTCTCACTGCTATTATCTTACTTATCTTCTTCTTTCCAAACCCACTGCCATCAAGTTGATTCTGACTCATAGTGACTCTATAGGACAGAGTGGAAATGGAACTGCCACATAGGGTTTCCAAGGCTGTATGTCTTTATAGAAGCAAACTGCCTTATCTGTCTACCGCAGAGCAGTTGGTATATTTGAACTGCTGACATTTTGGTTAGCAGCTGAATGCCTTAATCACTCCACCACAAAAATGGGCTCCTGGTTATGTATTCTGAATTCTCTTAGTATATCTTCTGCTATAGTGGTTATTCAGAAATAGAAATTGATCTGCCAGTGAATGCTTACAATGGCTCTCAGCCACCCGAAGATAGAGTGTAAATTACTTGGCATGGCTTTTTAAGACTCGTTAGTGGATCTCCATCCATTCTCTCTGACAACTATGGTGTTGGGCAGAGGAAAGTCAATTAACTAGAACTTATGGTGAGTTTGATATGTATTCTTAGAGCAAATAGGAATTCCCTGGACTTTTTTAAAGTAGAGAAGAATTTTATCTGATTTACATTTTTAAAATCATTATTCTGTGGTCTGGAGAATAAATTGGTATGGAGCTACTTTAATAATTAGACCCAAAGGACATGGTGTCTTCAAACACAGATGTGGAAGTTGAAGTATAGAACATGGCTGAATCTGAGAGAGAGTCAAGAAGTGAAAGTTGATTAATCAGAGGGGGGTGAGGCAGAGGAAGTTTTATTATTTTTTTTTTTTGAATCTCTGAGGATATTACCATTCATCTCAGATGCAAAAGGGTAAGATTCAGGCAGGTTTAAGAGGTCACATTTAGTCATGTTGCATTGAAGAGGACTTTGAGATACTGAAATGAAAATATTCTGATAGACAGCTAGATATAAATCTAGAGAGAAGTCTGGGTTCAGAAAAGAGATTTGCATGTGTGTGTATGTTCTTTCTGTTTGTATTGTTATTTTCCCACCCTTTAAACTGTGTACTTCTGATGATTCTAGGGTATATGTTGCGAAAATGCTCAATATTTTTCAATGACTTCAAAGAACATTGTACACAAAATGTTTTGTTTTCTTCTTTCTTGGCTAGGAAATCATCCTGTACTGATGAAGAGCAGTTGTAGATATGTTTAATAAAACCTGTTTATTAAATGAGTAAATGGTGGGATTATAGATGTTTATTGTATTTTGTACTGTGTACTTTCATGTATTTGAAATTTTTATCTAAATTTTTAAACATGGAATAGTGTTTGGCACTTTATATTTGAGTGGCTGCTATATATGTGCTTTTTATTTGTTGATCTTATGCTATTGGCTTTGAGGACATTTTATCTCATTTAATCCTCACAATAACCTTATAGGTGGGTGGTATTCTCATTTTACAAATAAGATTAGACCAAAGAAATTAGATAATTTTGCCACAGATTATACAGTAAGTGGCAGAACAGTATTTGATCCCAGGTTAGCTTTGGCCTTTATAATGGTATGTTGTCTTCAGAGACTACAAAAAAAACCCTCAACCTCTTGCTCTCAAGATATTTCCCTTTTACACTGAAAGCATACTTATATATGCTTGGGATTAGAAGTTAAACACTACCTTCTATTGGCGTAATGCTGCTTGTTATATCTTATTGGGTTCTCTCTGAGTAAAAGAGTTGAATGGCAGCACTCCCTAACCTTGAGGCACTATGTGATTGTGAAGCAAATGAGGGGTATGCCTGGGTGTGCTGAGTCCTGAATCCCAGTATAGTACTTTGCCCTGGATGACATGAAGTTATGCCCACCAGTTGCTAAAGCTAGTATTGTGTGGTGTTTAAAGAGATGAATAATTTTGCTTGGAAAATAATGTTTAAGCTCTTTTGGCTTTATAATAGAGAACTTCCTATACTGGACCCTGGATTGATGAAGTCAGATGTCTGCCCTTCTTTGTTAGCAGGTAAGATTGGATTGGACATTTTTAGAATATCCAATGTGGAAATATCTTTTTTTTTAATCTCCATTCAGGCCTAATCAAAATGAAATTTCTAGAATGGGAAGTTTCCTTTTTTTGTTTTATTGTGATTTGGATGAAAATGTACAGAGTACATTCACTTTCCATACAGCAGTTCACATACACTTTGTCTCATGACACTGACTACAATTTACCACAATCCAGCAGCTCCCCTCCCACTTCCTCCCAATAGTTACCTCTTCCCTGTGTCCATCCCTCCATGTACTCCTGCCACCTGAGCTGTCTCCCTGTGCATAAACAGCCCTTCTTTCTCCCATGATTATTCTCTCCAAGGAGTGTATCTACCTCAGGTAAATGTTCAACTCATATACCTGTCTTTTGTATGGCTGGAAGCCACAGGTGTGGGTTCAATTCCAGACCTGAAGGGCAGCTAGGGACCATAGTCTCAGTGGTTCCACCAGGCTCTATCAGTCCAAAAAACCTGGTCCGTCCCCCCCCTTTGTTTCCCCCAAATGATTTTGAGTTTTGTTCCACATTAGAATGGGAAGTTTCTTATTTTGAAATCTGTTAACCCTTTGTTTTACAGTTTCTCAGTTTTTCTCCATTTTAGTATGACTGGTTGGCTGGCCACATTTTGAGGACTTTTCCATTTGATAAAAATAACTATGATAGGCTTCATCTACAAAAGATAGATAATTAGCCTCAGGTGTTTTTATTTTGAAATTGAAATATATATTTAAAGGTGACAGTCCAAAAGATTTGAGCTTCCATGACCCTGAGACCAGAACTAGATAGTGCCAACTACCACTGCTGACCACTCTGAGAAGGATTACAAGGTAAGGTCCTGGACAGAATGGAAGGAAAATGTAGAACAAAACTCAAAATCATAAAGAAACACCAGGTTACTGGCCTGATAGAGACTAGTAGAAACCTTGAGACATAGCCCTTAGACACCCTTCAAAACTGGAACTGAATTCACCTCCATGGCTCAACTTTCAGAGTAGGCCTGAAAGATGAACAGGAACACCAGGGAAGTGTACTCAGAACAATCAACCACTTGAGATCAAAAGGGCAGCACTTGCTCAGGGATAAAGTTCAAAAGGCAAGAAGGGATGAGAAAGAAAGACTAAGAGAAATGGTAAACAGAGGAAGGAAGAGGGGAGAGTGCTGTTACATTGTAGGGATTGCAGTGAATGTAACAAAACAAAATGTATATGAATTGTTATAGTTAGCTCACATTTTAAATCTAAGTCTTTGTAAAAATTTTAGTAATTAGCAACTAATAATATTATTTACCTGGATCTTTACTTCACAGAAACTAATTTAATATAAATTTACTTTGACTTTCAAGTTTTAAAGATATATTGTAAACAGCTATACATGGGCAAGAACGATTTTTAAATGTATTAAAATGTCTTTCAATTTTATATTACTCCAGATTCTTTTTATGCCATATAATGAAGTTATTTTTATAAAGGGGGAGGATTTAGTGTATAATTTGCTGAAAACTCTGTATTTGTCACACCGGACCTTAAGAGAGCCTCTGAATTCTAACTCATTTTTAGAGTAGTCTTTGAATAACATTGTTATTTTGTCACTTAAAGTTTTTACAGCTGAATATTATTTCTTTTCAGCAAATGAGATAAAGCATGAATCCAAAGGTGTAAGTGTTTCCTTAGGAGAAGTTACCAATGAGACCTCTGAAAATGAAAAACTGGGAAACGTCAGTGAACATATGAAAGGTTCAGACTTAGAAGAGAAGGTACTAGGGAATGTTTTTGCGTTTTATTTCTTGTTTTAAATAGTGGTTATGCAGAAATTCGTCATAACAGTGTCAAGTGACAACTGTAACACCTTTTTATTGGTTAAAAAAATAACTATGGGATATATGGCTTGATTCTTTGCATAAACACAATATAAGCAAGGTTTCCTTTTTCTTGGAAAATGAGGGGTACTGTTTAATTACATATTTAGCTTTTTCGGTATCTGAAGTTTTTCTCAAATCTTATCTAAGTTTTTCTGAGCAAAATGTTGCCTATTTTTGCCTCATTAAATACAAATTCTGACTATATTGTCTGATTTTCCTTGAAATTTTAGAATATGATGAAACCTGAGGGCCATTATTATAAGTCATTTGACCATAGATGTAGAAGGTACAGGAAATAGAGCTAAACCTAACCTGATGCCAAAACATACCACTAGTGTGTGATATTTAGGGAAAACTTTTGGTATCAGGTTTTTGGTTTTATTTTCTGCCAAGTAATGTATATGATTGCCTGAAGCTTTTATACAATTTAATTGACTCCTAGACAGTCATTTCATACTTTCTTCTTAAACCTCCATTGCCTCCTCATCTATCCTCAAAACTAACAACTTGTTCCATACTTCATCGAGAAAATTGAAGTAATTGAAAAAGACCTTCCTAAGTTCCCAAAAATAAAGTAGCTCACGTGCCTATAAAAACCAAACCCACTGACTACAGAGGCTTTATAGGGTAGAACTGCCTATAGGGCTTCCAAGGCTGTAAATCTTTACAGAAGCAGACTGCTTTGTCTTTCTCCCATGGAATGGGTTCAAACTGCCAAGTGCCCCACAGCCCAGACCTTGAATTTGTTCTTTGTTTCTATCTAGACGTGTTCCCTAGTCTTTTCTAATCTCATTGGTTTAAATGCCATCTATGTGCTGGGACTTCCAACTTTCTCTCTCCAGCTCAGATTTCTCTGAACTGCAGGTCCTTGTGTCTAGTTGTCTACTTTATTTTTCCACTTAGATGGCCAGTTAAGCATCTCAACATGTCCAAAATTGAACTCCTGATACCTATCCCCTTCCCTACTGCAAACCAGCACACCCTATAATCATCCCTTTCGCTGTTAATGGCAACTCCATCCTTATAATTGCTCAAGCCCTAAGCCTTAGTTATCTTTGCTTTCTTTTTCTCTCATTTTTCTCAGTCCATGCCCAGACTGAGGAAATCATGCTGTTGGCTCAGATAATGTATAGAAACTGTCTGCTTTCCATTCAGGTCAAGGCCAGTGTCGTTTCTTGATTCAGTTATTAAAGTAGCCTCCTGCTTCTATGCTTGTCCTCTTGTAGTCTTTTAACACAGCATGAGTCAAATCATGTCATTCTGCTTCAAAATATCCATTAGTTTCTAATATTATTAAGAGTCAAAGCCCCCAGTACCTCCTCTCCACCCTTTTACCACTCTGGTTATTTTACTACTCTCATCCATCACTGACCACATGAGCTTCTTTGCTATTCTTGAAAACATGCCAGGCTTTGTCCTACTTCAGGGCCTTTGCTTTTGTCATTTTCTATGCCTGGAATGTTCTTCCCTAGAAAATGGTATGACTGGCTTTTTTATTTCTTTCAGATCTTTACTCATATTTCCCCTTCTTCACTGCCCCTCTGCTTTACCACACCTGATATCATTCTCCAGGGAATGGTCCTTTCTGACAACATGACCAAAGTAGATGAGATGAAGTCTGGCCCTTCTTGCTTCCAAGGAGCATTCTGGCCACACTTCTTCCAGGACAGATCATTCTTTTGGCAGTCCGTGGTATTTTCAGTATTCACCACTACTGCAATTCAAAGGCATCATCTCTTCTTCAGTCTTCTTATTTATTGTCCAGCTTTCACATGCATATGAGGCAATTGAAAATACCATGGGTTGAGTCAGGTGCGCCTTAGTCTTCAAAGTGACATCTTTGCTTCTTTTTTTTTCTTTTAATGCATTTTATTGAAATACAATTTATGTACAGTAAAATACACAAAACTAAAGTAACATGGGTCAGTGCTTTTTTTTTTTTTGCAGTGTTCTCTCCCCTCCCCTCCCCCCCCAGCAACCAACAAAGTTTCCCTCCATATATAAACCTTTCCTTGACCCTCCACAACAACAAACTAATACTATATTTGTCCTTCTGTGATTGACTTATTTCACTCAGCATAATGTCCTCCCAAGTTCATCCATATTTTGCAGTGTTTTACACATTCTACATTATTCTTTAGTGCTGCATAGCATTCCATTATGTATGTGTACCATAGTTTGGTCATCCACTCCTCCACTGATGGGCACATAGGCTGTTTCCACCTTTTTGCTATTGTAAATAGTGCTGCGATGAACATGAGTGTGCGTATATCTGTTCCTGTCCTGGCTCTCACCTCTCTAGTATATATACCTAGAAATGGGATTGCTGGGTCAAATGGTATCTCCAATTCCAGCTTTCTAAGAAATCGCCATATTGCTTTCCACAGTGGTTGTGTCACTTCACAGTCCCACCAGCAGTGTATTAGAGTCCCCAATCTCTCCACATCACTGTCAGCATTTGTTATTTTCTGTCTTGTTGAACCTTGCCATCAGTGCTGGGGTGAGATGGTATCTCATTGTTATTTTGATTTGCATCTCTCTGATGGCCAATGATTGTTAACATCTCTTCATGTATTAGTTGGTTACCTGAATATCCTCCTTAGTGAAGTATCTATTCATGTCTTCTGCCCATTTTTCAATTGGGTTGTTGTTGAGGTGTTGGAGTTTTCCATAAATCTTAGAGATAAGTCCCTTGCCAGATATGTAATTATCGACAAGTAAGAATTTGTTGCTGTTATTTTTGTTATGTACTTTTTCATGGTGTCGATTTCTTTGTTCCATATAATTTTCTATGCTGAGCTTGTTTCATTTATGAATTGTGTTATTCCTTCGTTGATTTTGTTTTAGTATTTGCTAAATATTTGTGCTGGTCCTCTTTATTTTGATGTGAAGGTTTATCATTTTTCTTTGAGGTTACTCTGTTACCTATAGTTATAATAGTTATCATTTTCTTCCCATGTTTAGAGCATGTTTAGAGCAGTCCATCTATCTTGAGATACAAGAACTATATATATATATATATATGTCTTGACTTCCCTACCATCTAGAAGTTCTGTAATGACACAGTTTTCTCCCTCTTTTTGGGTTATATCATCATATGTGTTAATGGTCGGTTATTGTTGGCTGTTGCTGCTTCTCTGTCCAAAGGGCTCCCTTTAGTATCTTTTGTAAGGTTGGTCTGGTTTTAACAAATTCCCTTAATTTCTGCTTATCTGGAAATGTCCTAATTTCACCATCATATTTGAGGGACAATTTT